TAGTAAGCAACTTATTAGCTTCAACACAGCTATGAAAAGGTGTAGTAAAGAGAAAAAGAAAGAACTCACTTTACAAGATCTTCAAGCTGAAGTTAATAAAATTAAATCTGAAATTAAAAAACTAAAAGCTCAAGACAAGAAATTTGCAGAAGTTTTAAGTTTTTTACACACAGATAGCTTTGGCACTACAAAGGATTTTAATCTTGAAAAACAGTCATTAGTTAATGAACAATCTGAGACAGAATCTCAGGATGGAACACAATTACAGCGGATACCTGTAACCTCCACCTCTTTAGTGGAAAATTTGGGTGAAATGAAGCTGCCATCTCATGATGGGTGTTCACAAACCAATGATAGTTATAGAATTAATTTGGTTAACAAAATTAGTTTCCAAAAATGGTATTCTCAAGTACAAATCATGATTAATGATTTTAAACTTGAAACCATTGTCCTTATTGATACAGGTGCAGATGTTAACTGTATTCAAGAAGGAATAATACCAACTAAGTATTATCAAAAGACACTTGAGAAACTTAGTTCAGCAAATAGAAGTAAAATGAAAGTTAAATATAAGTTGCCAAATGTTCATATTTGTCAATACAATGTATGTTTCAAAACATCTTTTGTCTTAGTACAAAATATGACTAGTGAAGTCATCCTTGGATTACCATTTGAATACTTGTTGTATCCATTTACAACAGATACTAAAGGTGTAACCACTAAGTCATTTGGTCAATCAGTAACTTTCAATTTTATTAGTAAACCAGAAATTAAGACATTAAGACAACTAAGAGATCAATCAGTCTCTCAGCATCTTATTGCAATTAATCAAAAAACTCAACAGGTAAGATTTCTCAAAGATGAAATTAACCATAAAAGAGTTCAAGAATAATTAACAAATCCAATCTTAATTAAAAAGATTGAGCAATTTAGGTATATATATATATTATATAAAGATTAGAGCACATGAACAGTAAAAACGTGCAAAAAAAAAAAAAAAAAGAAAAAATGGTGAAGCAATGGACAAGTGTCCATGAGAATGCTAGGTCCCCAAGTAAATCTTAGCTATAAATAGCTAAGCTTAGTACATTGAACTGTGCAAGGAAAAAGAGAGAAATGGAGGAAGAAAGGAAAGGAGAAACAGAGGAAAGAGGAAAAAGGGGTCAAAAATTTTGTTGAATTAAGAGTTTGAGGTTACAATCAAAATTTTGGATCAGATTTTTTAGTTATTATTTAGTAAATTTAATATGTTCGAGTCACTTAAAGTTGATCTTTATTAATTATTTTTTGATCAAATTTAAGTATCATTATCTTTCGTTAGTTATTCAAAAAATTATTTTAGGTTAACTAAGCTCTTATTATCTATTGTTATTCTAAAATATTATTTTGGTTATTTTATCACAGTACACGGTATCGAATATAAGTCAAGAAGGAGGTAGAGTTTCTTTTATCTTTTACTATCATTAATGCATTTCATGCATATTTGGGGGTTTCATATCAAATTTATTTTTAATTATATAATATAAAATTATATCGTTATAATCATGGGGTCAAACTTGGGTTTTATAAATAAATAGTTATCATGCACATATTATATTTTTATCGAGACCCTAATTATTTCATGAAACCATGTTGCATATTAAATGTTTATTTCTTTATTAATATTTAATATTTGATTTGTTGTGGGGTCTGACTACGATAGGATTTTATTTTGTGATTTTGATGAAATTACTATGAATGCACATAATCGAGGCAGAGGGTTAGTAGATGCGTGATCCTTACGAGGATTCACAGGATTCCTACTAGTCCTTGGGTTCATTGGTTAATAATATCGGTTGTCATGATAGCCTGTGTGACACCACATAATTTTCGGTATTGGTGTTTCCAAAAAAGCAAGAAGGGCATTGGGTTCCGTAAGGTGCAAGACTCTAAAGTTTTCTCCGGAGGCGGTTCATGTGTGGACCAGAAAATTGATGGATTGATATGATCGATATATGCTGAAATTTATTTATTTATTTGATTCATTACTTTGCCCTATTCCTGCATTTATTCACGGTTTAATTATATTATGCATTGTTTTAAAACTTTGGTAGTCATTGATAAACGTTATCCTATTGAACTGGTGAGCTCATCCCTATTTAATATTTTTCAGATATATGAAGCCAAGCTAGATGATAGGCTGAAAGGATAGAGTCTGCTATTATTATTTCTCTTTATGTTGTATCAAGAATATTTGAAATGATCTTGTGAGGATTATGTACTCGTAAGTAAAATAAAATAATATAAGGAAGATTATTGTAAGTTCGGTGTAATTTTATTCTTTTATCATGTTTGGGTTTTTTTTTTTAAAGGAGAAAAAAAGAAAATAGGGTGTGACACATGTATTGGTTTTACAATCCAAGTGATGGTGTTTTATAAGTGGTAAGGAGTTTACAATCCAAAATTATGGTATTTATCCAAAATTTTATATTGCATTCTCAATCAAACAAAAAGGTAGAAATTAAATGTAATTCATTTTAAGAAAATTGAGTAGCAAATTTCTATTAAAAATACTTATAATTGGTTTTTAAGCAAATTAATAGGTTAATATGACAAATAAAACCAAAAAATTTGTCAAAAAAGGAAGCGAATATTTACTATTAGATTACAATGTTACCATTTTAATTTACTAGTTGGTGCACACGTAAGTTGCTTATGAATTATTTAAATTATAATTTTAATTTTATGTGATTAATGCTTCTCAACAGTGCTATCAAAACTGAACCAGCCAGTTGGGCAGGTGAATTGGGCCCTAAATCCGTCCAATTTTGACTTATTTGTAGGATGATGTGTTTTTAGGGTTGATAATGAATATCATATTTGGAATGATGTGTTTTTATTTAGGCGATGATAATTTAATCATGAGGGGTTATGGTATGTTAAATTGTAAACATGTTTCATATATTTTGTTTTGGTTAAATTATTCTAAATTTTTTATTTTTTAATTATACGATCGGTCTAACCATTTGACGCACCGATTGATCCAACTAACTATTCACTTAGTCCTTCTAGTGGTTTGATATTTAATCCAGTTATGATAACTATACTTCTTAATAACCAAGGACAACAAATGGTTTCCCCAACTAATTACGGAAGAAACATGTGGATGGAAAATCAAAAATTGGATAGTTAATATAGCATGAATTCAAGTTGCAGTAATCACATGTGCGGTTACAAGGAGATATTCACCGAATTGGATGAGTTTGTTTAGTCATATATTAAATTTGGGAATGCTTCAACCATCTGAATAAAGGAAAATGTAAGATTTATATCAAGTTGAAAGATGGGTGCTTCAATGTTATTTTAGATGTTTATTATGTTCCAGGTCTAAGTCACAATTTATTGAGTATGAGACAGTTATCAAAAAATGGGTACGATATAAGGATTTTTAATGGTGTTAGCATATATAGTGTCTTCGAGGAGGAAGGTTATGTTGAACAACCTATTGATTGTGGAAATAAAAAGAAGGAAAACAAAGTCTACAGGTTGAAAAGGGTTTTGTATGGCTTTAAACAATCTCCTAGAGTTTGGTACACCCAAATTGAGTCTTATTTTGTGGAGAATGGTTTATAGAGATGTTTCTATGAACACAATTTGTATGTCCCAGTAAAATATTATTATTGTGTGTTTATATGTGAATGATCTTATTTTCACAATAAATAACTTGAAGTAAATGGAGAAATTCAAGTTGTTACTCTTTCTATCATTGAAAAGAGTATAATGCAACCACCAGTTGTGCTACTCAGGCAATGTGTTTACATCGTATGTATGGATTTTTTCAACATGCACAAAAAATTCCTTCAAAAATTTTATGTGATAAGAAGTCAACTATCGTATTGGCAAAGAATCCAATTTTTCAAGTGAGTACAAAACATATTAATGTCAAGTATCATTATATTCGTGAGTTGGTTATTGATGCTGAGATTGAGATTTTATATTATCGATCTGAGGATCGAATTATAAATATTTTTACCAAGCCACTCAAATAAGATACATTCGTGCATTTTATTTTTTTCTATTATTTTGCTATTATAATTTTATTATTATTAGTTGTTAATTTATCACAGTCTTAATAGGAAATTGATTAATTAGAATGAGTTGTCTTGTTGGAGAAGACTACTTGGGTTCCTTAAATCTGGGAGTAGGGTTACTATATATAAACTAGAATAGGTTTGCTTTGTACTCTGAAGAATTGATTGAATAGAATTTTCTCTTTGGCTTTGCCGTAAGTTTTTGGTCGTCTTCTTACTTCTTCTTCACTTCTTCTCTTTTTTTTCTTTTTGGTCTTTGATTAATTAATGTGTGTTAGATTATTTTGAGTGCTTGGTATTTTTGAGATCCTACATGCAATGATGTATTTATTTATAGTATTACATGTTCACTTGTTTTTGTTCAATCATGGGGATTTTGTAAAAATTTTGGGTTCACATTTACTTACCGAGAAAGAGAGATAAAAAAAGAATGGAGAAAAAGTTTTGATAAATGTGCGTGCACGATCTTGCACAATATAAACACAAGAACATATATCTTCTATGATGAACACGAGTCCGTCAATCTTGCTACTTGGAACAGGTTGTAAGGGCCGGAGGTGGCCTGAGAAATGATAATGAATAGTTCATGTGGGCCACCAGATTGGTCTTGTGAGGCTAAGAGAGGTTCCTAGAACAGAGAAAGACAGGTTAGAAGGGCGCCGGTGTATTTTTTGGCGTATCTCCGCCGACGATCATATCAGTTTCTTGAGAGAGGAATGCGACTTAATATAGTTCAATACGACTTAATATATGAAGATAGGGAACTTTATTTTGACTTAATATAGTTCAATACTTCAATATATGAAGATAGGCAACTTTATTTCTCCCTCCTGCTTCACCATGTACTTGGAATCTGACAGTTTTTGACTGGATGTGGTATTTTACTCCAAATAACAATTTTCACACTTTTTTCTTCAAGAGGTAGTGCGAATGATTCCCATTTTCTCAGACACTATGGAACTATTGAAAGACTCATTTTCAGAGTTGACAACGGTAGTTCATGTGGCACCTAATCGGCATGTGGAAGAATATGTCAGCAAAGCTGTTCGTGAGTGGCCTGTATCTGTAGTATTGATTCCTGGAGGATCTCCACAGCTGAAGTATGATGCATATAGTGTAAGGCCCCATTCTCATTTTTTCATGGCTAATGTCCCACTATTGGGGGCACTTTGTGACAAATTTGGCTGAACACTCTCAGTGCGTTTACCCCTGCTTATGTTTGGATCACATTTCCATAGAAAACAAAGTAATAAATAAGAAAGGAAATATGTTCTGATGATTTATAGTTAGCCGGTTGTTGTTAAGGCAACCCCCAATAACAAATTGGATGTTGGCCACAATCTGATGAGATCATATATATATTAATCTTTTGAAGTTGAAATGATCAACTTTACTTCATTAGGTCAGTGACAAAGAACCTTTGCACTTGGGTGTATTTAAGGTATACACTGATTTATGGTCTGAAGGACCATTTGTTTTGAATATTTTTTTATGTACAATGGAGGATATTGATACCTCTCTTGGGACCTTTTATTTTGATTAATCCTTGTTGTCACTTGTTTGCTCTGCATAACTGAGGCAGATAACAGAGCATAGACCTGGATGCAATTAGAACTTGTCTGACAAAAGCCTGATGGTATCTGCTACTTTTCACCACAAACATTCTCCATGGTCATGGAATTTTGTGTGATTCTTGCTGAGATTCATTACCTAACCAAATTTTGTTCCAATGGTATGCAGGCTAGCAATGTAGCGTTTTGTGCATCTGGCACAACAGCTATTGAGTTGCAGCTTGCACAGTTACCTTGTGTTGTTGCCTATCGGGCCAATCTCCTGACCGAATGGTTTATAAGGCGCAAAGCTAGAATATCATATATCTCCCTCCCCAACATTCTTCTGGATTCAGCTATAATCCCTGAATCGCTTTTTCACGCTTGTACCCCATCGAAGGTGGCCCCATTGCTCGTGTAAGAGCCCGTGCTTGTAATTTAAAATTAGACAAGATATTGTTCTCTGATAGTTCATTTTATTATCTGCATGACAACACCTACGATAAAAGTAAATAGCTATGCATTTGCAATTAATAATCAACTCAATTCTTTTTGAAGTAAAAAGAAACTGGCTTTAGGGAGGCTTTGTTATATATGTCAATATAGGGATATCTGCAAAGCCCCCCCTCTCTTCTCCTTTCTTTCTTTTTCGAGGGTTTATGAACCTCGTTATTATTTGATCTCCATGGAAGCTGTAAATAGAAATGGTAAACAGATTGGTGTTCAATAGTTTGATTAAATGATGTTCCAAGTTTCAATTGGTCTGCTATATGTGATTTTCAAAAGTGAGCTCTTGCACTGTATATCTAAAAGCTAATGACATTGTAGGGACCTAATACACAACAAAAGCCTCCAAGAAGAACAGATAACTGCTGCTGAAAAGGTTATTGGATTACTATGTCCGAAAAGAATTTGTCACCACTCAATACGGCAGCCTTTTACTTCAATTTACCCTGATTACACACCGAGCATGATTGCAACATCCATTGTCTTACACTCTGTAACGACATAATGATGACTTACCTATTATCATTATTTCGTCGCAAGACAACTTATTCGGGTTCCAATTTTGTAACAAAGGGTATTGCAAAATTGCTGTGGGAGGTAAATTCTTCTTTCTTGATATTTGTTTTTCTTTCTATTCTCTCCCTGTTCATCATGTCCAAATATTTGTCTAGAAAACTCCCTTACTGAAGTTGGTGCAGGAATTTCTTTCATTGATTAATCATAATTTTCACTGTTAAGATTGTTCAGATGAGCTTTTGTGAACTACTTTGAAGACGACAGACCAAACCATGAAGAAAATCTTTTGAGTCTTATGGGTTTAGGTAAAAAGGCTGACCCAGTCCATGAGGTTTCCTCCACTGTCGGGTGCAGGAAGGGTGAGATCTATGCAGCCTTACCCCCACATCTGGTGGGTTCAAGTATGGAGTTGATATCTAATCTGCAAATTAAGTGGTCCCTGAGTTGATTGTATGCGTGGAGCATGAGCGACGTGAAGGCGAAGATGCTTAAGAAATTGTACCTGCTTTCAACCCCAGTGCATTGACCAATAAATGTGTTATAATTTTTCTTGATGCTGAAAGTAGGTTGGAGCTTGTGGAGGCACAATGAATAGTTATTACTGCTTGCGTACCTTGTTCACAATGAACAGTTACTGCCAACTTCGTAAAATTTTTCCTCCTATTCTTCAATTGAATCTCATGATCAATTGAATTTTTTTTTTCCTGCTAATTGAAAATGTTATAAAGGGTCACTAAATGTGGAACTCCTAAGAGTACATAACCATAGCAGTTTTTACCCGCGAGGGAAGCCCTCTAGAGAGGTCTGGAGTGATAGAACCTGTAAGCACTCCGCGAAGACAGCTTGAGCCATAGTCGGACTTCAGCCCCAGCAATTCACTAGAAGCAACTCAAAGGTCTATTTCCCATGAATTGAATTTGGGACATAACCCTTGTAGGTTTCAAGCAACAACATTAAAATCAAAATAAATGCACAAAGTTCATAGAAGTGCTTGACGTTACAAAATTTGATTATTTTCCATTTAAAGTTATTAAATACTTTTATTCAATTAAGATAGTTAATTTGCTTCCATCAAATGGTAGAACATGCTTGTGTTATGCCCAGAACCTTGAAGGCCTCACAGGTAAACATATTGATCATCTATTCCATGATAAATCTCAACCTTCCCTCTATTTCATTGCCTTTAGTCGACCTAGTATTTCAAGCATTTTCAATCTTTGAATCTTTTTCTTAGCTCGATTGACAACCAATATGCCATTAATTTTTCCTCTCGTTTCTTAGTCTTAATAATGTGTTCAGAAAGAGAAGTACGTACATTGAACCTTTCTACAAGAATAACAAGAAAAATTTTAGAATAAATCTTCCTCTTACCATGCAAAACATATCTTAAAGCTCCCTTTAGCCTAATTCTTGTTTCTTGTTGAAGGAATATACTTGATATATATCAACAACAAATGCTTGTTTGTTTAACGATGTCTGTCTTACGAGGGTCAATCCTTCTATGCTTTAGCATTATAATGGTGTGCTCATCATTGATTGAAGTAGCAGATGCTGAGTTTATCAATTATGGTGCTCTTCGAGAAGCCGCCAGACATGGTTTTCCCTGCGACAACGAGCACCCTGAAGCTTGCTTGCCACGTCCATCAAATTGGTATAATTGAGGTTGCGAGGCTATTGAACGTTGTCGAGGCAACCCCAAGGACGAATATGAAGAGGAAGAAGGTCAGTTTGGGAGGATTCCAAGTGAACCACCTCCATTGATATAAAATGGTGACCGAGGGTGAAATGAACTAGTTCATGCTTAGTTCTCCTGTAAAAAATAAATTCCTTCATGTTTATAAGATGTTGTGATCAGCAACATTAAACATATATTTGAAACACATAGTATAACAAATAGAATTTTTTTGACAAATTTTTATTGCAATTAATGTGCCTGTTTGAAGTTGGTTTTTTTTTGGTGAAAAACGGGGCTTGAAAGGTTTTGTAAAAAAAATTAGAATTAAAAAAGTTATCCAAAACCGTTAGGAGTGTTCTATAAAAAGTCGAAAAAATTAAAAAAGTCTGTTTGAAGTGATTTTTTTAGCTTTTTTTTTGTTAAAGTAAAAGAAAACATTGGATGTATGTATGAATTATTTATAATAGCTCTCGAAATATGATTTCAAATTTCTTCCTAAGGAAAAGAAAGCCATTAGAATTAAATGAGTATACAAGACAAACTACAAGCCGAATAGAGATGTGAATCACTTCAAAGTGAGGTTAGTAGCCAAGGGTTACAAATAAAAGTCAAGTATTGATTATCTTGCGGTTTTTACTCCTGTTGCTAGGCTTGGTACTGTTCATATGGTTATTTCTCTTGCTGCTAATAATTTTTAGAAGATATTTCAAGTAGACGTGAAATCAATTTTTTGAATAGGGTCATTGAGGAGGAAATTTATGTTGAACAACCCGCTAGTTATGTAAATAAAAGGGAGGTAAACAAAGTCTACATGTTGAAAAAAGCTTTGTATGGGTGTAAACAAGCTCCTAGAGCTTGGTACACCTAGATTGATTCTTATTTTGTAAAGAATAATTTTTAGAGATGTCCCTATGAACACACTTTATATGTCAAAATTAATTCCAAGGGAGATACTATTATTGTGCATTGATGTATGAATGATCTTATTTTCACAGGAAATAACCAGAAGTTAATTTTGAATTTCAAGTTGTTGGTCTTTCTACCACTGAAGCTGAGCACAATCCAGCTAACAGTTGTGCTACTCATGCAATGTGGTTACGTCATATGTTTGGATTTTTGTAGCATGAACAAAAAATTCCTTCAAAGATTTTCTATAGTAATAAGTCAACTATCGCATTGCCAAAAAATCCAGTTTTTCATGAGAAGACTAAACATATTAATGTCAAGGGTGATTATATTCGTGACTTGGTTATTGATGCCGAGATTGAGATTTTATATATTCAATCTAAGGATCATATTACAGATATTTTTACCAAGCCACTCAAATTAGATACGTTCGTGAAGTTGAAGCAAATTATGAGAATAATCAAGATTGAAGAATTTAAATCAAAGGAGGCTGTTGAAGTTTGACCTAATTATTTATTTATTGCAATTATTTTGCTATTATAATATTATTATTATTAGTTGTCAATTAATCCTTGCCTAAATAGAATTTGCTTTTTGGCTTTGCTGTAAGTTTTGGTCGTCTTCTTCCTTCGTCTTCACTTGTTCTCTTTATTTTCTTTTTGGTCTTTGATTAATTATTGTGCATTAAATTATTTTGAGTGCTTAATATTTTGAGATCCTACATTAAATGTCCAATAGATTGAAGGTAAGCCACTTTCTAATTATATTCGATTCTAGAGTTAAAATATGTTTAATACGATTTGAATCGTTGACTTTATGTGCAATGCTATACACATGATTGACATGTATATCAATACAACTTTCGACGTTTACGTTCGAGCTTAAATTTAAACTATTGATTTTCAGTGGCTATTTTCTCTTTTAATGCGGAAAAACAGTAATCTCTACACAACTCTTTGACTCTATGGCTGGCTTGTGTTGCAATACAACTTTGCAGTTTCGATTTCAACCTCAAAATTTAAAGAATATTCATTTCCAATGGCTATTTTTCTCTAAATTTGGGAAAAAAAACCATAATTTTCTTAATATAGCATGAGACTCCCCCAATAAATTCCATCTTCGGTGTCCCCTGGTAACTTGGCATCAACAGAACAAGTTAACCAATTTGCTTGTTTGTTCTATAAGCAACCTTTTGGTAAGCTTGTTTGTCAATGGCTGCATCTACAAAATTGATAGCCCTTGGCCTGGGAGCACTCATTATGTGCTCACTGATGGTTGGTTTTGCAGATGCAACGGTGACTGGCAATGGTGTTTTTAAGCACAATAAGTTACCATGCAACCAACACGGTCCGAACCGATGTCCAAGTCTACCAGCAATTCAGTATCAGAGAGGTTGTGGGGTAATAGAAAAATGCAGACGCAGTCCTGGGGTAGAAGAAAAAGATACTGTAGTTGAAGGTCTAGCAGTAGCTCCCACAAAAAATCCATAGATAATGAAAGCTCAAAACGATTGATCGTTTGTTGGAACAAGATTTTATTGAGTAAAGTCAAGTTCAGATGTACCCACTTGAATATTAATTCATGTATAACTTGTGTATGCACAGACATACACATTTATGTGGCATGTATTGGTTTTACAATCCAAGTGATGGTGTCTTATAAGTGGTAAGGAGTTTACAATCCAAAATTATGTTATTTATCCAAAT